AACTGCCGAAAACCCTGTAGGACTAAACCTTACCGGTATGATAAACAAAAGAGCAAATCATCGAAGAACATATTCAGGAAATGTTAAAGAACCAAATAATAACGCCCATAAATAGTGAGTACGCGAGTCCAGTCGTACTATGTAGGAAAAAGAACGAGTTTCCCTCCTTCGGATAAAAGGGCTTGGAGGTTTGCTATCGATTACAGAAAACTTAATAGTATTACTAAATTCCCAGTTTACCCTTTGCCGGTTATAGAGGAAATTATTAGAAAGATTAAGAAATCTACAAGATACATGACTACTTTGGACTTAACGTCTGGCTACTATCAAATAGCTATGAGACCCGAAGACATACATAAAACCGCGTTTATAACAAAATCGGGCACTTATGCATTTTTACGCATGCCCTTTGGGTTGTGTGTGGGGCCCCATCAACATTCCAGAGAGCTATGGACATTGTTCTAAAGCCTGTCCTAGGAAAATCGACTTTAATCTATCTAGATGATATAATTATAACGAGTAGTACGTTGGAACAACATATTAAAGATCTAGAAGAAGTTTTTTAAATTATTAAAAGAGGCCGGTCTTACAATTAACGCCTCAAAATGCAAGTTCGCAACTAAAGAACTTAAATATCTGGGTTATAAAATTTCGCAAAAGGGTATAGAAACTCAAGATTCAAAAATAAAAGCCATCAAGAATTTCCCACCTCCCAACACCGCCAAGAAACTTTCTTCTTTCCTTGGGTTATGTTCTTATTATCGGTCTTTCATAAAAGATTTCGCTAATATTGTTGAACCTTGTTAGTAATTAAAAGAAAAAAAGTAAATTTACGTGGACAGCAGAAGCAAATACAGCATTTGAAAGGTTAAAAGAAGCGCTCATCAATGCCCCTGTTTTGAAATTCCCGGAAGGGGACGAAAACCTGGAAATTGCAGCAGATGCGTCGGACTATGCGGTGGGTGCGGTTCTTATGCAAAATGGCCATCCTTTGGCATTTTTTAGTAAAACTTTGAATCTACACAAAGGAATTATACAGCTACAGAGAGAGAAACATTAGCCGTATTAATGGCTGTACACAAATTTCGAGTTTATTTCGGCAAAGCGCCAGTAACAGTCTTTTCGGATCATGCGGCTGTTGGTAGACTTTACTCGGGGAAAAACCTAACGCCCAGGTTAATAAGATGGGCTTTAAAACTCCAAGAATATAATCTAATAATTAAATATAAACCGGGTAAGGAAAACAATGTAGCTGACGCACTTTCTCGTATAAAACTGGAACGAATGAAATGCGCTGTGTTGACTTCAAAAATTTTAGATTCTAGAGATACAATTATTGCTGAATTGAAAGCTGATCCTGAATTTGGAAGTATCTATGCATATTTGAAAGACCCCGAAAGCTTTGAGCACACAGATATCGATGCGATAAGAAATAGAGCAGAAAACTATGAAATAATAGATAATTTATTATTTTATACGAAAACAACAAACGAAAATCTTCGAGTATAACCAGTCATCCCAGCCTCGCTTCGATTAAGCATTTTGAAGGAATTACACGACGCGAAAACAGCGGGTCATTTAGGGGTCAGAAAGACTTTAAAAAGGGTACGCGAGGCGGTATATTTCCCGCAATTATACAAAATAGTAACTGCGTATGTCAGGTCCTGCAATCAATGTCAGTTAATAAATGATATTAATTACAGCCCGGCCGGGTACTTAAATAGCATTCGCGCTACATTTCCGAATGAAATTTTAGGCATAGATCTTCTTGGTCCTTTCCCCCAGAGTGAGTTAAATAAAAATCGTTTTCTTTTAGTAATTGTAGATCATTTTTCAAAATGGACAGAAATTGTTCCACTTAAACGCGCGTCAGCCAAAACAGTCGCAGATGCATTCTTACACAGATACATTTTAAAATACGGTGCACCGATAAAAGTCATTAGCGATAACGGTAAACAATTCGTTAGCCAAATATTTGAAAACATTTGCACTGGACTTGGCATACGCCATATCAAAATGGTTCCGTATAGACCACAGGCAAACATAGCAGAAAGAGTTAATAAAAATATTGTAAAAATAATTCGAAGTTATGTTAGCACACATCACAAGCGCTGGGATGGCTACATAAATGAGTTAGCTTATGCTTTAAGAACGGCAAATCATGATACTACGGGAAAAACTCCAGCAGAATTATTTTTAGGACGAAAGTTAATTACGCCACTTTAGATAAATTATTCTTTGTGCAACAAAGAGAAGCAAGAATTTAAACAAAAAGATGTGCAAAACTTATTGATCAGGCGGTTAAAAGCTCGAATACGGCAAGAAATAGACAAAAATTTTACTATGATAGAAAACGCCGTGAAGCAGATTTTAAAGTTGGGGATAAAGTGTTGAAGCGGAAATTTTCTTTATCAAGTGCCCCAAACAATTTTACTGCAAAGTTAGCTCCAAAATTTGAAGGCCCCTATGTAATTCAGGAAATAAAGGGAGTCGTATTGTACCTTAAGAACGAGAGAGGGGAAATTTGTAAAGCAAGTCCCGACCAGGTGAAAAAATATTATAATCAAAATGATTTTGAAATCCTTAAAAGTTTCTTGCAGGACTCAAGCGCAAAAGAAGTAGAAGGTCCAGAATTAACGCAACCCGCTCCACCACCCAAGAAGCAGAGAACTGAAGAGAAACCTAGCCCTTCTACAAGTCATTCTAGGGTCCCGAAAAGAAGGAAGGAAAATGGTCAGACTCCAGCATTCAAGAAAGTGCAGGAAATCAACGCCGCCGCGTAAAGAATCTTTGGTAAAGAGGAAAAGACCAGTTACAAATTTCCCACAGTAGAAAATCTGAGTCGAGGAAACCACTTCCAGGGCCAGATAGTCAGGTGCAAACAAGGCCGCCGTTCACGAGAAGAAAAAGACAGCAGGAGGAACGAAAAGATTGGCACCAACAGAAGAAATTCAAGCAAGAATCCAGACCGGAGGACGCCAAGACCAGCCGTCCAGGGACCAAAACGGAAAAGACAGGAACCCGAAGACTACCACCCAAGAGGCCAGCATGCAGAGGGCGAAAAAGAAAAGTCACCATGGACGAAACTCGAAGAACCCAAAAGCGAGAGATTGACGTCCATGAATTCTATAACTTGGGATCAATTTTGCCAGAAGAGGATGTCGGAGTTCCAAGCATCGAAAACTCAAAGATAAGTTAAAATCTTCTATAAATTTTTTTTCTTTTGTTCCGAAATGTTATGCGTAAATACGAAGTTCTATGTTTTGACGGAAGTCAATTTGTCTCGGTTGAGACTTAGTTTTGTTTTACTTTATTTAGCTAAGGCAAAAGTATTATTTTCTTTAAGTATAAAATCTAAGAACAAGCAGTTTCTGTTGGTCGAAAGACTAATTCTGTTATGTTAAAGCCAAAATTTGGCCGAAAGTAAAATAACTTCGTATTCTTGTATTAATAAAAATTTAGTTTCAGTGCCGCCAGCTTGGCGAAGAAAGCGTAAAGTAAAAATTTATTTTTCTCTTATTCATTTTATGGTAAATTGTAAAAATCATATGTATTAGAATTTTGTAAATATACGTAAATACTTGAAAGTTATGTAAAAGTAGAATTTAGTCTAGAAGCATAAAATTTTAGATGCTAAAAGTAAATGCTCAAAAGAAATGAAGTTCAAAATTTAAGTATTAAACTGTAGATAAAATCATGCTTTAGAGCGAAAGCCTGCATGTCTAAAGATGAATGAGGGGGAATTTAGAATGAATGTGTTTTGTAGGGTTCTCCACCTACACTTGAATTTTTAAGAATGTTAAACATAGCTCATCGAGTTTCAGTAATGTCGAGTAAGGTGTGTCTATTTGGTCGTTGAATTCTAACAAATCATTGTGGTTAGGGAAGTGTTGTAATACAAAACACGAATATTCCCGTTTGACACCACACATGGTGGAGAACCAGGGTAAAGTTAAATTCATGTTTGAATATTTGAATGAATGTGAATGTAAGCAGTTAACTAAGGAAAAGAAAAGGATCGAAAACGAAAATTATCGAGTGTCAAGAAAGTGTAAATCATAATGTATTTAGAAGATACTGATACTTATTCCTTCCAGATGCTGGAAGGAAAGAGAAAAGATTGATTGATGAAGACCAAATTCCAGAAAGGATCCTGTAAGAAGATATGGTAATTTAACATCTACAGAAATGATTATAATTGTTTTAGGAAACAGTTTTTTTTTATGTAAACGGAGCTCTTGAATTTTAGGTCAGAAATGGAAACTTTTTGAACAGGTCGTTTCTAGGACCTGCTTCCAAGTTTACCAAATTCTGGCAGCGGCAAATGTAGGGTTTATATTTATTTTAACTAACATTTATTTTAAGTTTAAAGCTATCTTTCCTGTCAAGCCTTACTTTCCCCTAGAATTGCCAATGCCAGAGTATGTAAATTCGTAGTAGAACGCGCAGAGTATTCAAATTTTAGCAGAATTATGTTGAGTTTAAATAGAAGGGAAACGAGATTCGTAAGTGTGCTTCTTGAATCGCGAGCGTGAAGGTTGCTAGGTAGAAATTTTAAGAACCGCGCGTTTCGGCCTGTGTGCCTATTTCGGCTGTTCGTTGAATCTTTCAACTTCTTAACCAGTAAGTTTGCTGAATCTCAGCTGTATCTTAGAACGCGGTTAAGTTAGTTATGATTATAGAGGTAGTGATTTCGTTTTTTATTCATCCTGTCATTTATTTTTAGTTGTACTTTTCTATTTTGTTAAATCGCCGGGTCGGCGTAGTTTGTGTGCGTCAAGTGAACGCAGCTGTATTTCTAAAGTGGAATAAAAAGAGATTTAAACCCTTCTTACGAGTTTGTGTAATTTACAGTTCAAAGCAGTCACTACCACTGTTGCTGACAAGTTGGGGCCTCGCAACATTATACACATATCTATAAAAATTCATAACAATAAGTTATTTACAAAGAAATAGTTCCATATTTGACAAATAATACTTCTATAGAAAGTATTTCTCACCTATTCTCCAAATTCCAATGCTGCAGCCATCAGGACATCTAAATGGTTGTACTGTCAACTGATTTTTCTCCAGGACATAATTCAATTCTGAAGGCTTGAAATCCGTGAGTATTCTGAAATACTTTTTCTTCATCGCATAGAAGTTGCATAGGATTTTAAATGCGTTTTTAACGTCGTACTTCTTGTGCCTGAGAAATGCTAACAGAAATATATCGTCCATCAGAGGTTCGAAACGAGGCTCTTCTATAAAATACAATAAACAGAGCTAGTGAGAGCCCTTAGCTACCTTAATTGTATATTATAAAAAATTTAACTTGAAAGATTTAGTAGTTGTCTTTAAGAAGAAAAGATTATATATTACTCTAACATTTTGATTTTCATCTCTACAACAAAACAAAAAAAGAAGAGAATGCTTTGTCAGATATTTTGGGAAAAATTAAGGACCTTACGAAAATGAGAGCAAAAACTGTAGTTATATTATTGCAGATTTCCATAGAAATGGCACTTAGGAGTTGGTCCAACTAGAAGCCCAACCGTAAAAAATCTTGGCTTAACATGGAAAATTAGGGTTTAACACATTTAGGATTATTCATCTTTATGGAAAATTAGGGCTTAACTCTGCTTTAATGCTTTATGGAAAACCGCTAAAGCACTTCAGCTTTACAGAAGCATTAAAGCAACATGGCTTTAGTGCATACATTGCTTAACTTTGCTTTAGTGCTTTTAACATTGCTTTAGGGCTTTTAGTTTGGTTTATGGCTTAACATTGCTTTAGGGCTTTATGGAAAATTAGAGTTAGAGTTTTAACATTGATTTAAGCTTCAGGTAATTAGAGCTTAACATTTTAAAACTTTATTTAGGAAATTAGGGCTTAACATTGATTTGAGCAAGTGGCTGGGGGACACGCTCCTAAATAAAATCAAATCAAATATGGCTAGGGAAAATCTAATCAAATCAGAGCTTGAGAAGCATTCGGGAATTCTTCTTAGGGCGTATGGAAGGAGGACAGAAAATATTCAATTTATTTCATTTTAATCAAATATGACTGCCATATACTGATGAAGTCATATTTCCAATTCTTATGAATGAATCTTCTTCACAAAAGATATTCTAATGCTGTACATACCTGGAGAAATGCTTTCTCCAAATTTGTTACGTTTTTGTAGAGGAACGACCTGTAATTTATGTACACATTTATATGACAGTTATGAGTATTAAATCTAAAAAATACAAATCTTTCAAATCAATGAATAAAGTGCCATAATCTATAAAAATTTCAAGTATAATGTTGTATAAAGCAATTGTAACCAACCATTACATCACAAAATGCATTTATTTCACAGCATTTATGACTGTCTCTTTTTTTGAAAAAAAAAAAAAAAATACAGAAAATGAGAAGAAATTCCACTTGTTAATTGCTGTATTAAATGAAAACTTATTACTTTGTAATGTTGCGCGCTCCCAACCTGAACGCAACAATAGTGGTGACTGCTATGAACTGGAAAGTATACAAAGTCTTGAGAAGGGTTTAAATCCCTTTTTATTCAACTTTAGAAATTACAGATGCGTGCTTGACGCTCACAAACTACGCCGGCCCGGCGGTAAAATAAAAATAAGAAACTAAGAAAAGAATAGTAACAAGTGACTAACTACGAGGCTCTCTAAACGTAACTAACCTAACCGCTTTCTAAGATACCGCTGATAATTCAGCAAACTTCTGAATATTACGTTGAAAGATTAACAATCTGCCGAGGCAAGCACTCAGGCCGAAACTCATGGTTCTTCAATTTCTAACTAGCCACCTCCACGCTCGTGAAGCAAGAAAGCACACTTTCGAACTCGTTTCCCTTCTATTTAACTCAGATTACTGTCGCTGACAATTTGAATCCTTGCGCGTTCTACTAAAATTTACATACTCTGGCAATGGCAATTCCAGGGGAAAGTAAGGCTTGACAGGAAAGATAGTTTAAACTTAAAATAAATGTTAGTTAAAATAAATATAAACCCTACAACTTCATCTTCTAAAAACAACACTATACAAAAGTAATGCATTGCCCTTAATTATTGCGCTAATATCAATAATGTCATGCACACCTGCAAGTCTATAAACACCCTCCTTTTTATTAAACTGTTGTTGGAATCAAAACAAAATATTGCAGATTGATGATTTGTAGAAAGATCTGTTGGGCCGCCATTCAGGAAGTGTGAAATATTGGAAAGTGCAAAAATATTCTAAAGGGAAAACAGTGATTAAGAAAATTATTAGTAAAAATATTAATTAATTAAAACAGAGTATTACCAAAGATCTTTTACAATAAGCTAACAAATTAAAAAAAAACGCTTATGGAAAATTGCAGACTAATTATTCATAGCTTAATGCTTTAAACAAACTGATCAAGGAGAATTTTTAAAAGATTAAGTACGGACAATTAATGAGTTCTGAACTCACGTTTGGTTTTTCTTGACTAATTTAGGAGAAAAAATAATTGAAATAAATATCGACAAAAAAGAAATGTTTTTTTACAAAATTTATTGCTTTCCATTCTCAAAGTTTCAAGAATATACTGCAAGGCGAATTTAACCCTCCAAGGAAACAAAAATACATAAAATACACAAATAATACAAAAAAGGCATTACTGCATCACATTTTTTAAAAATAATAAAAATAAAATACTCTAGATTTAAAAATCACGTCAATTACAATCTAAATAACAGTCAATTACGAAAGACTAATTCTAATATCCGTTTATATTAAATTCTTGCCATTTGTCAAAGGTACTCATAAAACCTAATTGCTTTCGCGTAAAAAATAAATTAATAAAATAGGAAACAATGTTATGAATGAGTACTGTACGCAGTAAGCAGCTATGTCTGCAGTTATGTTGCAGTGCAGTTATGTTATAAGCGCAGCACATAATTTAAACATATTGTAAGTTGCATTCAGCTGATTGTCAGTATAAGAGACTGTCAGAATTCTGTTGATGATTTGGTAGTGAAAGCTGACTGTGGTTGCTTTATGAGACGCCTTAATTGACGCTAGTTTGGTTGGCAGATATCTTGCCCTAGGTCGTTGACCTGCCTAATTATTTGGCAGATCTTTTTGACCGCTGGTGGGTGCTTAATGATGAATCGTTTATATGATTCTATATTTGTGGCTGGGAGTGGTAGGTGTAAGTTGGATGTAAGGCTGCATTCAAATATGTAGTGGTCGGGGGAGCCAGTTGCCCCGCAGACGCATATATCTGTCATCGAAATTGCATGTCTTTGAAAATAGGATGGAAATGGGCCGTGCCCCGTGATATAGTATGTCAAGGGTGCAATGGCCTGGAGACGTTCGTTGTCTACTATTGGGTAGAATCCATGTGTCCTTCTTCCTGTATCACAGTTATCCCACTCCTGTTGCCACTGTTCTTTGCTTAGTTCTCTTAGCTTTCGCTTTAAATACGAAGTCGGGATTGGAGTTGTCACCTCTTGCGCGTCGTTGTTGAGTGCCGCCTCGTTTGCTAACTGGTCTGCCATCTCGTTACCCTCTATGCCATCATGTCCTTTCACCCAGATTAGTTTGATGTGTGTTTGCATATTGTTACGCAGGAGCTGTTGGATTGCTATAATTGTGGGTGAGGTATGGTGGTGATTCATGATTGCCTGTAGCACTGACATGCTGTCTGTGTGAATTTCGGTTGCTGCTAGATTGATATCCTGAGCATACTGAATTGCAGCTGCTATTGCCACAGCTTCTGCCTGGAAAATGCTGTTGTGGGTAGCGAGATGGCCTTTCCATTTGCTTTCCACTCGGTCATTTTTGAAGTGAACGAAGGCGCATCCCACTCCATTGTCATGCTTTGATCCATCGGTGTAGAATCGTGAGTTCACATGTGGAGTTTCTCTGAGAGGCGTTGGGTGTTGTGCTGTCACGACATGGATGCCTTTACTTTTGTGTGCCGGGTGCACATACTGCACACTCCCTGGTAATTCATACTGTGTTGCATGGAAGGCGGTGCCAGCAAAGTTGGCATCTTGTTTTAGCCTAATTAGGCGCTCATATGCAGCTTCTATGCTGGCCTTTATGTGCAGGGGTGTTAGTCCCGCAAGGACCGTTATTGCACTTGATGCCGTTGTCCTATATGCCCTACTTATGTTTAGAGCAAATGGCCGTTGTATTGTTGTCAAGAGTTTGATCTTGCGACTGCTCATTGGTTGCGCCCATATAGCCGATGCGTAAAGAACAATTCTCTCCGCTACCGTTAGATATAGCAGTTTCTGGATGTGAGGGTTTTGCCCCCAGTTGCTTCCCTGGAATTGTCTGGCTTTCTTAGCTATATTTGCTGTCTTGACTCTGATGTCTTGAAGGTGGGGCAGCCATGTGAGACCCTGATCCCATGTAAGTCCGAGATACTTTATGGTTTTTGAGATCTTTAGATTTCGTCCCATCAATTTTTATACACGGCCGTCGCGTTGGATTAGTTCTCGGTCGTGGGATGACTACTGCCGTTGACTTCTGTGCGGAAATGATCAATTTAAGTCTACTGCATTTATCTGAAAATATGGAACAGGTTTCCGTACCATTTCGTTCGAGTTCTTCTCTTGTGCGGCCAGAGACTAGCAATGCCGCATCATCTGCATATGCTATCACTCTGGTATGGGTAGGCCATTTGATTTGTAATAAGGAATTAAACGTGATTATCCACAGTAGAGGCCCGGCACATGACCCCTGTGGGCACCCTCTTTCCTGCTGTTTAGTGACGACACCGTTATTATTGACTATAATTAGACTTCTAGAGTGGAGATAGTCAGTGAAGATATTAAAAAGGTTCCTTGGACACTTTGCCTCCCTGAGGGCCTGCTTTATTGCAGGCCACCAGAGAGTATCAAAGGCACTTTGAAGATCTAAAGAGATAAATGCAGTATGTAGATTGTTGATTCTGTTGTCATTTATATGTTTTCGAATGTGTTCTAGAGCATGGATGGTAGATGTGCCTGTCCTGAATCCATATTGATGTGGGCTAAGAAAGTTTTGTCGGTATAGATGGTGCTTCAGCCTGTTGACTAGCAGTTTTTCGTAGATCTTACCCAATGCAGATAACAGACATATGGGTCTAAAGGATCTTGGATCTTCCGGGGATTTGTGCTTTTTTAAAAACAGGACGACCTGTCCTTGTTTGAATGCAGTAGTAGGAAGAGGGAAGATTTGACAATGTAGAAGCTTGTTAAACAGAACTTTAAAGTAAGTG